ACTGAGATGGCGGTAGCAGGTGGCCATTGGAGTGCGGTTGTCATGTGTTAGATCCCTGATCAGTCAGGCGCGCCGCCTCGGAGTACGAACTTCTTTGGTATCAGGTACGGTCGTTTAGTCATGCGACCTGGAGGCGAGGTATCAGAGTGGTGCACGAGGTGGTCTTGAACTCGGATAGGAGCGTGGCCCGGACTTACCCGAGATGGAGTAGTCCGGGCTTTGCCTTTCGTGGTGTTCCTTGTAGGGCTCGGGATTTCTTAGGAAAGCTCGGGTTCTACCTCCCGGGAAGCACATATTGTCTTTTGAAGAGCTCGGGTTTCTTCTTGGGCTATGGCTATGTCGCTGTGCCAAGCTGACGCTCTTACTAGGTGATACCCGATTGCTTCCACGTGTCGCGCGACCAAGCGTTCGGGCCAAATCTCCCTCCATCAAACATGTATTATTAAAATAAGAGGCATTCGATAACTCAAATTTCTCTCTATGTGCAAATGTAAGAAAATAAGAAAAAATAAAAAAATGGATAAAATATAAATAAATTATCTCAAAGGAGACGGTGCTGGGCGATTCGCCCAAAATTTTATCCCATCACAGGCTTATTTTCTGATCTTGATCAGCTGGCTGTCTAATATGATAATATGTCCCGCATCCTATAATGAACCCATCTGCACCATTGGCAATTTGACCTGTTATGTTAATCATATGGAGAAGCGAGGATTTTTATTTATCGTCAGATCGGAATTTACGTCAGTCAATTCAGTACCTAATTTTGTATTGGATCGTGACCAACAACACTTGAAAAGAAGGCGGGAAAGGAACGAGGGAAGGGGTGTTTGCTTGATCTACGTCATTTGTTGCTTCGCTTTGAAAAACAGCGGCTTCAGGATCGGCCGTCAATCGTCATATCAAAATGAAATCTTCTTGAGTACGACTTTATAGAGAGAGAGAGAGAGAGAGACTCCTTTTTGTGAGTTGAGGAGTGAGGATATTGTTTTTTTCTGTTGATCGGCCTCTCTGTTTTTGTGTTGAGTAAGCTTTCTTTCTGAAAGAAGTTTTCGTTCTTAGTTTCTGGTATTCTCTGTACAGGAAATGGGGGGAAGGTGTGATGAATGCAGATCAAGCGATGAGTATGTTTATTGGACCCACTTCCAGTCCAGACAGTTCTTTCAGATCCTCACCAACGATTTCGATCAGAAGCTTGTAAGTAGAAGCACCCTCTACCCTCTTATCCTTGTCTCTCTTCGTTTTCTGTCTTACGAGTATTGCAATATAACACGCAGAACATTCCCCCAAAATTCATGCACCACGTAAAGAAAGAAATCTCGAGCTCCGTCTCTCTTAGAGGTCCAAGTGGGAAAACTTGGAAAGTTGAAATTGTGATGGATGAGGATGGCCGCTGCTTCTTTCAACACGGTTGGAATACATTTGTTCAGGAAAATAGTCTGAAAGAGAAGAACGTCTTGGTTTTCAGATACACCGGGAACTCGATTTTCGATGTCTTACTGTTTGATCAGTTTAGCCTCTGTGAGAAGGTGAGCTCGTATTTCCCAAGCAAGTGCGGATGTAATCTGAAAGAAAGTTCAACGGAGAGCTCTGTAGAATTTATATATTCATCTGTAGTGGATGTGGATGAAAGAAAAAGAGGACGGGGAGGACGTGGTATTAAATGCTCTCCATCATTCAGAAGTAAAGGGAAAGAGGCCGAGAGATCAGAACCATTTAGTTGGCGTAATACATCTCAAGCTAAAAGGAAGAAGATTGAGAAGAAGAGTGCCACACCTCTCCCTGCTAAGCGGAAACCCAAAAGAGAAGAACCTGCGGGTAAGTGAAAAAATGCTCCTTCATGTGATGGTTAACATAATAGCTTAACCATTGTTTGGGAATTTAACTTGCATTCTTTTCATGGTTTCATCTGAAAGATTATTCAGGTGATGAAGAATTATCTGAAAGCTTAAACCGGGCGTTTCATATACACTTTCTATCAAAAAGACGACCTGTTACTGAAGTGGAGATGCTGAGGACCCTTGAATTGGCCAATGAAGCTTTAGTTTTGTCAGAAACAAGTTTCAAAATAGTTATGCAACCAACCCATGTGTATAAGAGATTTTACCTGGTAAGCTTTATATTTTACCTCATACTGTTGGTTGATGGTAGAAATATGATTTTTCACTTTTTAGCCTGCAGAAGAGATTTTTTTTTTTTTTTTAAGTTGATTTTCTAGGGTTGCTGTGCAATCTGTCTGCTCACTCCTTTTCAAGTTCAGAGTACTCTCTAAAATTCGACAAGTTAGATGCCTTTAGCATCTATACATTTTCTCAATAAACATAAAAAAGCAAGAATTTACGAGTGTCAATTACAGTGCTGAAAGTGGAGACAAATCCTCCTAATTTTCCAATAGAGATTCTGTTACAGAAATATATGTTGTATGGTTTGCACTTGTTCTCAAACAAGTTTATAACCCGGTATGCTGTATTAATAATTTTATTTGCTGTACATTACTAACCAAAGCGAAAGTAATATTGTAGAGATCCTTAAACAGTAATTAAGGAGGAAGGCAATTTCGTTATCATGGTTAGAAGTAACAGAGTCAGAGCTTGAAGAAGAGAATTGTATCCACACTTGTATTATCATCGTATGTATTGGTTTGTATACAAGTAGGATGTACAGAGAGTTTGTGTTGACTGGGAGATATACACATATGAGTTATCTACAGAAAATATAGGATAGAGAGTAGTTATCTACAGAAGAAATAGGATAAGAGACTTATATCTGTTATCTAGTCGGTTGATGAGAAGATATATAACAGGGAATTCTTGCTGTGGTTTGTAAAATTAAATGATGTTCATAGTCTCATAGATATCAAAAAGTAATAAAGAAGTGATTATCTGAACTGTTCAAAGTTGAATCACCACCACAGTGATTAATGGGTAATGACATTGTGTGAGTGGCCGATGATTTACTAAATTACTTTTTTACTTTGTTGCAGACAATCCCAGCTGCGGCTGTGAGAATGCATTTTCTTCCTAGAAGTGAAGATGTCATTCTTTCGGTAGATGGAAAGACTTGGCGTGTGATGTTTCGTTCGCGATCACCCGGTCAAGGAGCCTTTTTAAACGGATGGCCAAAATTTGTATTGCATAACAACTTGGAAGAAGGCGATGTCTGCGTTTTCGAGGTTGGGAAGAGAAGGAATAACTTTTTACACATTGACGTAAAGATTTTTCGGGTTGTCGAAGAGGTGGTGCCCCTACAGGTCTTTCCTCTGAAAAGTGAAGCAACCGGAGGTGCACATAAAAGACGCCGTAGGCGAGGCGGGGCTCTGACAGTTTTTTGAGATGGCAGCTTCAATTCAGCAGTTAACTAGTTGTGGGGTGGGCATGGCGTTTGTAATTGTAGTTAACTAGTTGTGTGTTAGAGCTGCATTCTTCTTCATTTTTAGTTTTGACAGTTTTATTGGGGATGATGGTTTTATGGAGAACTAGCAGTTTCCGCTTTCCACCTGTTTGTATATCATGTCTCCCAAGGCCATGTTTGTTGGCTGGTGCCCACCTGCCAAAAACGTTAAACCTCTTCCTCTTAGAAAGTGTGTAAGAACATCGTCACCAAGGTTATTCAGTCAACTTTTGAATGGATTTGTTTAATCAGCTCACATTTGCTAATACTGTCGCTGTGCTGAAACAACAAAATCAAAGCGGTTGATTTGTTGATGTGGCCTCACATTGAATTTAAATAAATGAACTGGCATTTTGGTGGGTCACAAATTACAAATCAAAGGCCTTTATTGTGTTTTAGCTCTGTAGCAACAATGAACTCTTGTGTAATAGTGGTGGAGAAATAATGGCTTTGTTTTATTAGGCTACTTCCTATTAAGCAAATGCGCCCCACAGACTCGGTAATCCGGGTAGGCGTGGTAAGCAATATATCCACTTTGGAGGATGCCAATTGTCAAAGAAGCAGGAATATTTTCTTGGGAGACCGACGGTTCAGCCTATGCCAGTTCTCAGAATTTGTAGGCCAAAAGTAATGTTAGAGTAGGTGACAGATCGGAATTGATGTTAATTTACCGGCGGACGGTGCATAGAGTGTGTGTTATTCACATTTTGGATGTTTATAGCTCTGCAAATAAATCATAAATCTGCATTGTGCCTGTCCCCATTTTTTCGAATTTTAGTCTGACATCTAAAACTACAATAATTATGTTAAGAGATATATTGGCATTGGTTAATTTTTCTTTTCTATGAATTTCGAATGCATAGAATATTGTTCTGAATTATCAAAATTATCAAATATCCATTTTGATCCTATATATGAGAGTTTTTGTTTGTCTTGTTGGGATATTATTAGAAAACAAAAAGTTGTATGATTGCACTTTAAGTGATAAGAGGAAACGAACAACCAATTTCCTCTTAAAATTGAAAGATTCCTATTAAGAGGAAACCAACAGGCCCTTAGTCATACATTAATAAACGACTTAAATTATTGCTAGCATTTTGTCAAAGGATGGGGAATGAACAATTAACCCTTCCCTTGGTTTAGATGGTTTAATTAGGATCCTTGTGCAAGTTATTTTATGGTTCTCAAAATGCGTTTCTTTTTGAGTTTTGATTATCAAAAAAAGAAAAAAACATTAATCTTTTAGATTAAATAGAAAACAGGAACAATTCCTTGGTAAGCATGTTCCTAAGTGGGGAGAAATATCAACCTCGTTAATGAAATTCTTCTAATCTAGGTGTAAGAATACTTTATCAGTCATTGCTCAGCAATCATCAATGAGATTTCATTTAGTAAAATTTATTAGTAGATGTTGAAAAGATATAAATGGTATTGCTTAAGGTTGCGTTTGAAATCGGTGTAAAAGTATACCGATGGTGTTTTATGCTGAACCGTGAATTTGTGACCGTTGCACTTTTGAAAAGCATGATGTGAATGGTGTAATATTTTACATTGATTTTATTGATGTAGTATTTAATCGATAATCAATGTAAAACTTTACACTTGATGAAGTTTTACGTTGATTCATGACATAAAAATTCCACTCCATCTAAACGCACACAAAACTGAAGCTGAGTGAAATTTTAGTTGATCATGATTACACACTTCCTCCAAACGCTGAGAAAAGCGAACCAAAGACAAATTTTACATCATTATTGGTTTACACCAATTCCAAACGCAGCCTAAATGTCTATATTGACAAGCATTGGTCTTCCTAATATGCCCCAAGGCCAAAGCTCACTTGTCCTTTATTCCTCATTATACCTGTTTTGGGGGCTGGGAGTTGTAGAGGAAACTTCCTGCTATTTTCGGGACAGATTGATTTTCGATTTCTTAATATACATCAAGCTCAATTGCCCAAGTTTGTCACCACTCGTTGGGTAGCTTGCCAGGCAAGGTTCAAAGTATTGACACGTATTGGCCCGTATCGGCCGATACGTATCATTCCGGGACCCCTTTGATATGCCCCTGCAGTGGGTGCATTGGAGGTCTGATTGGTTCAGGGGGTAGAGGAGACCTAAACCGGCCCCCTACCGGCATATCAGGCGTATCGATATTTTGAACCTTGCCGCCAGGCCAGTTTGGTGCGGTCTATTCTAAGTTGGGTTTGAACATTATTTTAGGTTCACACCAATTGAGTTTGGCCGATTTGATAATATATATTATATAATAAAAATATATTTTATTTAATAAAAAATCTATATATAATATTTTTTTGTTTCTCGTCTCTTTTTTTTAAGCAATAGTAAAATGTTTTATTATCTTTGAGTTTTGAAGGTTTTTAATATAAATAAAATACATTTTTATTGAATAAAAAGAAAAAAAAATCTATTTTCAAATTTCTGGTTGAACTCAGATTCAAACCCGGGCTTCAAGCTTTATATGAGGGCTGACCTTAGGCTTAGGATTCAAACCCTCGGACTTGGGCATGAATGTATTCTGTTGATACATAAGACAAAGCCCAATCCGAACTTGGCCTGGCTCGACCCATGAATAGGTATCGTATATACAAATCTGTGTGTGTATGTATGTTTTGAAATAAAGGATTCTACATTTTTTTTCAATGTTTTCAAAACTAGGCCGAAAAATTAGGAACCAGTCTGTTGTACCCCAAAACCTCTATTTGGCCAAAAACCATTGATTTGATCAGCGAACCGCTAACTCAGGTGCCTATATCATCGAGCCATTCGACCTAAGAACAGTTTTTGGTTGTTTTTGTTTTTTTTTTCATTTTTTCTTTTCTTTTTGTCAGAATGGGCCGCCCATTCGGACCGAACAATCGAACTTTTCAATTTAGTTTTGAAAACTTTGGTTTAAACTTTGTCTTAAACCAGCTCATTGCCATCCTCATTAAATATTGGCAGAAAGAAGTAAACTGTCAAATATATCCTCTATTACTTCTCAAATTTTCAAAATAAAACAATCATGATGTTTCAAAATAAAGCATCTTACATATTAGTTGTTACAAACCCCAACAGCCATGGCATAAGAGCATGTCTCTCTGCTTCTCCAGCACCGGACAACCGACTCCCACGGACAGACGAGTGCCAAATAGATGCTGTTTCCAGCTTATCCCAATTCTCAAGTAGTCCAATCTATCCCAAATTCAATTCCTGAGTCGGCATTCACATAATCTTTACTTCTTTAGACCTCGAAAATTAGATTGAAAAGCATATTCTCTCCCTCTCAAATATATATATATATATATTTTGTTTAAATTAATTAAGAATCTAAAAGCTAGAGAGAAGAGACATAGTTTTTGACCAATTTACATCTCTCAGTTCTTTGGACATTTTCCACAACGCCCTAACCAGAAACCTCCCCCAAACCATCTTTCAACAATCTCACTAGTTTTCTACTTAAACTACCTTCCAATTTAGTGGATATGGCTATAAAAACCATCTCGTTGCTTGGGCCTCTTGCAATTTTTGTTTCAAGTGCCACCCCAATTAGAGGTGATTGAGCAAAGTGGTAACTAACTCGATTTATGTTTGGCTTTGCAATAAATCGTTCGGGCTATGTTTGGCTTTGCAGAAAGCTAACTCGATTTATCGTCAAGCATACGATGGCAAACCAAGGTTTGATAATTTTTGGCCTTAGAATTAATATTTGGTTTTGCTTTTTCTTATTGCTGGACGGTATAAGAGCCGAAATTGGTTGTCCGGTGCCTGCAAAAAAAGCTTGTTGTCAAGTTTGATTTCTAGAATGAGACAAGAGATAAAGTCATAAACAATAGAGTTAAGAGAGAGAGAGAGAGAAAATTTCTTTTGGTGGCTAACGGGACCGCTGCTCTCAAGTTCTCAGGTTACGTGAAAGCTTAAGCGCTCCCAAACGGTTTATAAACTTATAACTTGTAAATAGAGAGTGGCAAATGGCGATTACAATAGCCAACCGGAAAGAGTAGCCATGCCATGTGCCATTCAATTGTCTGTAACGATGGTGACGGACGAGCCTGCAGCCTGCAGCCTGCAGTGCAGACATCATTTCAACGTCTTCAGTTGCCGTAACTGCGCCGCCGCATGTTCTCAGTTATAGTTATGGACGGACAGTAGAGTATAAATGAAATGCGCAAGGAACGAGAAGCGTTTAGCTGTTTTTTCTGTGCCTGTAAAAATGGCTGAAAAGCCGGTGATGACAAATCGTCCCCGCACGCACCAAAATTGTGAAGCCAAACTGCGTAGAAGTAGAACGACCAAAAGCCAATGCAACCGACCTTCCTTCTTCAAAATCTTGCTCGCCCCCGACTTCTCCAAATTGCTGGTAAGAATAAAAGGGGTGCAAATGTATTGATTCCCACCCTGACCCTGTTTTCTTCTTCTTTAATTAATTTTTTTTTTCAAGGAACATTGTCAATTCCCTTTCATTATTATAGGGCCGTGGGTTCTTGATCAGTCTTTTACTGTGGATTTATTTTGTCATTTGTTAAAACCCTGAGGAACTACTACAATTTTTCCTTTTGTAGAAGATACCACGACCTTTTATTAAGCATTTCAATGGATCTGTTCCCGCAACATTCATCCTTAGAAGTCCGACCAAGAAACGTTGGAGGGTAAGGGTGAAAAAGGTCAAGGAACAATGGTACCTCCAAAAGGGTTGGCAGAGCTTTGTGAAATTTCATTCTTTGGTGGTGGGGGATCTTTTAATTTTCAGCTACCGTGGTGGTGCCAAATTCAGTGTCAAGATATACGACCGAAGTGCTTGTGAAAAGGAACTACCTTTCTCTTCTTCAGCCTACACACAGAGAAATCCAGTTGATTCTTCCCACCCCCACCCAAAGAAGGGAAGGCGTGGAGAAAGGAAAGCCGGAGGCCTGCAAAAGCCAGTTGTTTCCACCAAAGTGAATCGTAAAAATTTCTTTCATCATCTATAACAATTAAGCTAGCTTACTGTTCTTATCTCTTTTTGAAATATTTCTCATAGCTAGCATTGATTTATATAATAATTAATATACTTGCACGCTGCACGTAGGCGGATGTGCTAAACCAAAGAAGAGAAGACCGATAAACGAGGCGATTGAAGCCGCCCGCTCATACAAAACAGAATCCCCACATTTTGTAGCACTTTGTCTGAATCTCACAAAAACATCTATCGTGAGTTTCTTATCCTAATTAACTCGCTCGAAATGAAGAGAAGAAGATGAAAATGATTTTTGCTGTTGGTAAATTTATGAATAATGAATTAACTTCATTCTCATCCTGTCGCTTACTTATTGCTTTATGTTGGACGAGGAAATTAAGTCGGTCCCGAGAGCTGTAGCAAAAGAGATTGGGCTGACAAACAAGGTGAAGGCAGTGCTTTGGGATCCTCGTGGAAGGCAATGGCATGTGAATGTGTCTCCGATGGTGGATGGCCGTCTCAATATTTCAGGCGGCTGGACTGATTTTCGGAAAGCCAACGACATAGCGAAAGGTGAAGCTTGCCACTTTGAGTTTGGGTCTCTGCAAGGAACAGGGGTTGTAATACGTGTCAACATATTCCGAATTACGGGGCTTGGAGAGCTGGCATGCTTTCCTGATGCTGCCAAGTGGCAATAGCGTTCAACAATTGGAATGATATGATCATCTGATGTACAAAAAGAAAATCCAAACTAGTTTAATAATAAACATTTCTTTTTTGCTAGCTCTGACTGAATTCTCAAGTCTACCGGCCAGAAATCTTCAACAGGAACGAGCCGGGCTTTCGGTCGGGTTCAAGTTGAGGCTGATTTTGCACTAACCATTCCATGCCATTCGTAGTTGGGCGGGGTGTTGGAACTGTTGACAGAGCTTCAGTGCACGAAAACCTTTCCTTGCACTACAACCCATTCAAAATTCAAACGGGAACGGCTGGTACTTTTTCTTTGGATTCAAATTCAATGACCAATATTAGACCATCAGGGACCTGCTCTGCCTCTGCTGCATACAGATGCAGCCATGAGCCATGGACTATTCCAGTTTTTCTCGACCGTTAAATGCCTTAAAAGACGAGAGATGCGTGTTATTAATTATTGGATTCTCATCCAACGGTCTTGATGATATATCGTACTGTTGAATTTTTACGGTCAGCAGAACCAACGGACCAACCATTCACATTTACCATGTACTTACGCTACGTATGATAGATATTTGGTTGGACGGGTATTAACGGTCAGCCAAACGTTGAATTCTGACGTCCGGATCGATCAAGGATGAAACATGTCTGCACTCAAAAGTGGGAAAGGCCAAGCGTCCAAGACTCGAAGTCGATATTTAGGCCAAAAGAAATTCGATGGGTCAAGGTAGCTAGACCGTATACCGTAGAGATGGGTAGAATGATTCCGTATCGACGCAGCAGGCCCTCCTTCTTCAAAGTCTTGGTCGCCCCCGACTTCTCCAAACTGCTTGTAAGATCCAAGAACCCAGAAAGAGATTCTTGGAAGTCGATCAACTTGATCAGTTCGTGTTATTGATATTTTCTTATCCTTGTTGTTTTACAATTAGTTATTACTTGTATTCCAATATGAATTGAATTCACTAATGCTAATCTCTGCAATTTTAATTGCAGGGGATACCACCACTTTTTATCAAGCATTTCAATGGATCGGTGCCTAAAAGACTCACCCTCAGAAGTCCAACCGGGAAAAGTTGGCCTGTTAAAGTGAAAAAGATTGACGAAAAATTCTATTTCCATACGGGTTGGCAGAGATTTGTAGAACATCATTCTTTGGTGTGGGGGGATTTTCTAGTTTTCAGTTATAACGGCAAGTCCAAATTCAGCGTCAAGATATACGACAGAAGTTCTTGTGAAAGGGATCTGCCTTCAGCTCCGAGTAACGTTCATTCCCAGCCAAGGAAACAAAAGAGAGGTAAAGAAATGGCCAGAGTCACCACGGAAGTCGTTGTTCAGAATCACGGTATGAGTGCTTCCCACCCAAACAAAGAAAAGCCAGGCACATTAATGGCCAGAGCCCGCACTAAAGTAATTGCTCAGATTTATGAGAGTGCGAGTGATTCTCACCCAAGGAAAGAAAAAAAAGGCGATGTTATAGCTAGGTCCACCAAGAAAGGTATTGATCGTGCTCTGAGAAAGAGTTATTCTCACCCAAAGATGGACAAGTGTGGCAAAGCAATGGCCAAATCCACCATGAAAGCAGTTGTTTCTAGCAAGGGAAACGGTAACTTTACTTCCAGTCTTCCCAACTGTGCATTGATTTCGCAAAACCTGATAAATATCAATATAACTTTCTTGCAGGTGGCTCTGGAAAACCAAGGAAGAAATCAAATTACGGGATTGAAAGGCAACCAAGAAGTGAGGCAATTGAAGCTGCGTCTTCGTACAAAACAGAATTTCCACATTTCGCAGCACTTTGTGGAAAGTCCAGAAGAAGTCATATGGTGAGTTCTGTTCCTTACATTTTATTCAAAAAAAAAAAACGAAAATTCTGAAAATGTAGTTACGTTAATTTTGTTTTCCTCACGTCTCATCTAATCTGATCGCCCTTTTGCTTTATTTATGTTGGATGATGAAATAATTAAGGTTGTTCCAAAGGCTGTAGCAAGAAAAGTTGGGATCACAGGCAAGGGAAAAGCAGTGCTATTGGATCCTAAAGGGAGGTCATGGCGTGTGAGTTTCGCTCCAAGAACGGATGGTCGTGTAGATATTATAAGCGGGTGGGCAGCTTTTTGGAAAGCCAATAATATAGTAGAAGGTGAAGCATGCCACTTTGAGTTCATCCAAGGAACAGTTGCAGGGAAAGTGATCATATGCGTCAACATATTCCGAGCTGCGGGATTCGGAGAACTCGCTCGCTTCTCTAATATTATACCTATGGCCTTCTTCGGCTTGTGAAGATGTTAGCTTGTAACACAGAGGCCAGCGTATCTGAAACTGATGCTGCACAAATCACTTCTTCTCTTCTCTGTAATACTGAAAATGAAAAACAAATGGGCCAGATTATATGATCGACTGAGGAATGCATTTTATGCTTTTGAATCGTAAATGGGATTATCCTGTAGTCTTTAATCTCTACTAAAATCGTACGAAGTCTCTCTCTCATCCTTCCTCTTCTTTTTAATACCACAATTAATTTGACGGTGACCATGCATGTATGCTACTCTATCTTTTCTTCCTCGGCTACGTTATATGGACGGTGGTGATCTATACGAGGTATTGCACTCAATCAGAAGCGATGGGCCCGATCTCCTTGGTCCTTAATTTTTTTTTGGGGTAAAATGTTGAAAACCTCCTTTGAAATTTCTCACAATAATAACAATCTTTCCTTTAGTTTTGATGGAGCGCAATCCGGCAGGTCTTATCTGTCAACAAACTTGACTCTGAACTGAATTGCAGGAAACCTGAAACGGAGAAGATGAGGAAGCTCTGGGGGGAATCCAGTGTAAAGGCTCCGAAGCTCAAGTTAGAATCCTTCAAAGGCAAGATAAAACCAGATAGCGCAAATTTTGCATACCTTGTTCTTGGGGGGTAGAGAGCCTTTTATAATCACCTCGCGCACTCACTCCTAAGCTCTCTCAGGTCAGGTATGATTACTTCCGTGCTTCTGCTAGTTTGGGTGTCATC